TATGTCTCATGTTTCCAACAAGCATCTAGACTGTAGAGGAAAAAAATCACCTCCTCCCCTGATGTCACCCACTTCCCCCAGAATCCAGATGCCACTCAATTTTACCAACCTCCTCCATCCTGCTGGGCTCTACTAAAATCTGTCACTTTAAAGCAATTATCCAATCTAAGTAGATTAGAATAACAATACCATATCCTCCAAAACAGTTGCATGGAAAATTATCTTCCCATAAACTACCCTGCCACGTGTTCTGATCACATCCATTTATGATAAGTAGATAGGTAGGTTGTGTAGGTAGGTAGCAGTTGTGCAGCTCTGCCACATTAATGATATGTAGATGGAAAAATGAAGTACATGAAGGAAAGGCATCAATTTATCCTATGCAATGCTGATCACCTGGCACAACATAGTCTGCTATTTTTGATGACTTTACTGAGGTACAAGCATTGTAGGTGTAAGACAGTCTGCTGGACTGAGCAGGCTGAATGGTGCTTTCACCTCAATGGCTGATAAGTTCTCAGTAAGTTTACAGTTTTTCATCTAGTTCTACCGGTAGCTCCTTCCTCATCAAATAGATTTATTTCTTGAGCATTTGATGGCTCACAATAGTTTGTAGGACAAAGCCTCATGGTGATGCTGCATGATATCAGAGAAATTTGCAGGAGAAGGTGGGGGGATGAAGTAAATTAGGCATTAGGATTTTCTCTTGGAGAGTCTCTGGAAGGCACTATCTCTGCTCAAGACCCTGAATATCAATTGGGCTAAGCAAACAACAACAATGAAATGTTACTTCTTAGGTATAAGTTAAGCACATGGGTAGGGCAGGAAGAATGTAGTTTGCATAGTTGTTTCAGGACAGTATAACATGTTTTCTTCACCTTCACTAATGAATTATTTGGAGCAAACAGATTTAGAAAGATGCAAAGGTCTAATTCAGTAAGGTAAGGTTATAGTAAAATCCCTATGCAAGGATGTAGAGGACACCAGTTTACAGGAAACATGTTCTGTGCAGTGATAAGTGGGTAAATAATATACCTAAATCTCATATTTAGACAAGGGAATTCCTAAAGAATCTGTTGGGAGCAGCAACCATGTTAGGAAGTGCAAATGTGTTTGTATATATAAGATACAGTATGAAAAGTTCTGTTTGTCCAATCGATTTCTGCCTGTTCCCATTTGCAAGTCATCTACATTTACACACCATATATAACTCCACACAGCATACTGACTACCAAGTCTTGATAGTGGATGTGCTTTAGTGAATTTCCATACTTTTGACTTCAGAAAATCTACACAATCAGTGAGATTTAAAAAAAATATGGGCTCCTGTTAATACATTCTGCAATTTTTATAATTTAAATCCTGCAGTCTGCCTACATGCAAAACTTCTGAGAGGACTTCAGGACTGGGCCTATGCCCAAGATAAAATAAACAATGATCTTTTAAAAAAAAGGCTCGGTTTTGAGTTGCATTTTTCAGGGTATGAATGCTGTTTTCTCAAGAGGAAAACAAATTATCATGTTGGTATTTTAATGGATAGTTTATGCAGTGGTAGCCTTAGGCTTGTTGGGGCCCAGGGCACGAGTGTCATTTGGGGACCCTTAGAGGCTTACTTTTGATGACCCATAAGCAAGTCGGACATTTTAAAATTTCAATTTCACTTTGCCCTATCCATGAAACTGCAATGAAAGTATCTTAATACAATATTGATAATACAAATATTCAGTGTTATTAATTTTTATTTTTATAAAGTGTGCGGCCCCAGACAGTTGCCCAGTTTTCCCTCCCCTAAGGCTGCTACTGTTTATGAAAATGAGCTTCAACAAATATTTTTTAAAACATTCAAATTTTCCAAGATTCCTGTTCCTACAAACACACATATCTATACAAGGCCAGTTCTTGTTGTCTTTACTCAGAAGGCAGGGTAGATATACAGCTTTATAGACTAACTAAATAAGAGATAGATAGATGGATAGATATGGAGAGTACAAGCTTTTGTGAACCCAAGTTCACTTCATCAGATGCAAACTCCTGTTGACTTCAGTGGGAGTTCTGCTTGCTAAGCACTGAGTTGAAAGAAGATGAGACTGTTGGCTACAGCCTTACTGAAATAAACTATGCTAGTCACTGTAACACTCCTGTGTTTGAAAATGTTTACATTAGTTACATTCCATTCATTTTCCACCCATAATCTAGTTCTCCTTCAGATCTAAAAATCTAAATAACCATAAGCCACTTGAATTCTGCACAACATATTTGTTTTATTTTACATGTAACTGATTTGACATTGAAAGAGAATGTCTATTCATAACTATAAGGAACATGCAAACCATATCCACAGGAATGAAAATATAGCTTCCTTAAAAATATGTTGTATCATAAATTCTAAATAACTGGCACAGTGTCCTCAGAACATCCAAGGTTTTCAGCTCTTCTCAAGTTCCCAGTGTCAATCTCAACTAGGGTCATATTTCTTAGTACTTGCAGTATCAACAAGGTAAGAAGGGCCTGTGTAATAAGTGATAATCACTTCATCATAAATCTAAAGATAGATTACAACACAAATATTATAAATGGATTGAAGATACTACAGTACTCTCTTTGACAAAGACCTATCAATTTAGTGATTTAAGACATTGAAAACACAATATATCAATAACAGAAAACAAAATACAGCAGTTTTGTGTTTGTAATGTTGCCCACAATTAATTGAGTCACAAAGAAAACATGGGACAGTTAAATAGACCCTTGTGGTTTTGGAGAGGAAGACAAAGTCCTAGTCACAAGACTTTACAACCTCACAAGAGAAGATGTATGGGAGTGGTTTATACAGCATATCTGTGCCTTTTGTTGTGGCACGTGAATTAGTTAAACACAAGGTAATTTATTCACAAATGACTAACTCTATAGAGGGTGAAAGCAAGGAATACTGGGAGTAAAGTCAAATGGTAGCCAGTGGTGCAAAATAGGAGCATGACATAAATCATTTAGTATGCTAGGCAACTCCCATTAGTAGGTTTATTGTGAGGATGTATCCTCTTCCATCAAGCTACAAAACTATCCACTCGAATGGAACAATATAAAAAATGAATTATGCTGATTTACATGGACTTTAGGAAGAAAGGTACTGCCATTTAACTGCTACGTTACAGTAGACACATCATTAAAAAGTCAATATTTATCCATGCTGAATCTGAAAACTCTAGGCATTTTATTTGTACTTGAAAAAGGAAAGGATACACATTGCAGCTGATGACATTTCATGACAGCCACTGACTCTCAAGCTATATTACAAGTTCTTACCATATATAGGAAGTAGGTGGGAAATGTTTTTTCTGTTCAGCTAAAAATGTAGTAATACAAAAAGTGCTCCTATTCCAAACCAGTGCATAGTATCTAAATCTTGAAACTTTTTGAGAACTAAAAGTCTGAAAAAATGGTTTAGATCAAGCAAACTCTTATGTTTTGATCATTTTGAAATATTTCGTTTTGATTTTTTCACTGAAACTTAATTTAAACCTTGAAAAAAAATTCATTGTAAACTGAAAAACAGAAATTTTATTTTTTTAAATGTCAAAATATTTTGTCAGTTTCAAAGCTTTGATTTTCAAAACTTGAGAAATCTGTTAAAAACAATGTTTTCTCCGAATGCTTCTTGTCAATTAACTGAATTTGATATTTTTAGACAGAAAAAAGTTCTGACAAAAATGTCCTGATCAGTACTAATGATAAATTTCAAGCAAGCCCTATACATCTGAAACTGCACAGTACAGTTCACCTCCACCTACTTACATTTGTCTCATCCAGACTTTTCTGGGACCTCCCTATTATACAACTACGGTCACAAACTGGCAGAGGGTAGATTTAGACTGGATATCAGGAGGCGCTACTTCACTGTCAGGGCGGCTAGGATCTGGAACCAACTTCCAAGAGAAGTGGTGCTGGCTCCTCCCCTGGGGGGCTTTAAGAGGAGGCTGGATGAACACCTTGCTGGGGTCATTTGACCCCAGTACTCTTTCCTGCCATGGGAGGGGGTAGGTCTTGATGATCTGCTCAGGTCCCTTCCCACCCTACAAACTATGAAACTATGAAACTGTCAGATTACAATGGTAATCAGCAAAGGCGAGGTTTCCAGAATGTATTCCCTCATTATTATTATATGCAGTAAATTCATCAGGTCCAACTCTGATTCTAGTTAAACCAGGGTAAATGTAGAATAATTCTATAAAATCCATGTAGTTATTCCAAATTTACTCTGGTGTTTCTGGGGGTAAACTTTGGCCCATCATCTACAGTAAAACATTTCAGTATAATAAAATGTATATAAAATATCCAGCCAACTATAGGTACAAAGTCAGACATTTGGATTATGTTATCCAAGTAAGTTCATATTTCACTGCCTTATTAAGACAACATTAGGGACTGTTTGCTTTTCAAATTTAATATTATGCAAAGGGTGTACAATATTTTTGCAAAATGCTCTACTTTCACCCAAATTGCTAGGTTTCAAAGCTTCATATGGCTGTTATTTAAGAGATAGTCTCTCTGTGTTGTCACATACAAGCTTTAAAAAAAACAGGACAATTAAAAAAAACACAAATAAAAAAGGAAATCTGCTGTGTTTGAAGTATAGTTTCACTTTTTAAAACATGTTTGTTCTTTACCCTGCTCATTAGTCTCATGTGGGATGTTGCTCCCTTCCCCACTAGTTTATTCCCCACTTTTTTAGAGCGTTTGTACTGTATAACATTTTTTGCTGTGTCCAATTAAAACACAATGCTTCTTTCTTTTGCTATTGGCTTGCCTACCTACCCCAATGTTGTACTTGTGACAAATTGCCCTTTCTATGCATAGGAACAATGTTATGAGCATCATGGGGTTGGAAGGCTTAGTTACAGGTGCAGGCCATATTGAAATGGCCCATCATTTATTACTTTTCAGTGGCCCCAGACAAAAAAAAATGAATTACAATTAAAAAAACATTTTTTTTTTACAAATACCTCATCAAGATGCCCAACAGCTCCAAAGATCTTTGACATCTGTCCAATCAGACTTGGAAAACTCTCACCAATCTCTTTCAGCATTGGAAGAGAACTGGCCAAGGCTACTGGTTCATAGTCTGATATTTCTATAAGTATATTTAGGATAATATCATTATGATGAGGGTCTCTTAAGTGGCTAATTAGAAATGGAATGCACTCTTTTAACACCTATATCAAAAGCAAAACAAAAAAAGACAAAAAAGGAAAAGTTAATAAAAAACACGTTTGCAAGAAAGTCAAGACAGCTACTGTATTTTACGGTGATAAAAAGAAACAATTGTTTATTAATTTTGAGATAAACAAATCTATTCCAGTAAAAATGAAGATTTTTTTTCAACCTAGATGATCTTTGCATAGATCTGTTGCTGAGGTCAATTCAAGTTCACAAGGAACAAGGGTAGTCCATGGCCTTAGGTTATACATGCATAAATGCAACTTTCCCAAAATAAGAACATTCGTATAAAAGACCATAGTCAGATGTTTTTTCCCTTTAGATTGCTCTGGATTATTGCTAAACTGTATTGATTAAAACAAATTATTAGTTAATTTCCCCAATAATTCAATAAATTAAAAATTAGCAGAGATTCCTGCTCAAGCCAAGAGGCTAAATAAAAACAGAAGACTAATGGCTGAAAAGGCAAGGTCCTCAAGTGGTCTGAAATGATGCATACCACTGTCATTTCATGTAGCTACAATAGTACACAGAAGGATCTGCTCCCCAAAATTGTAGATCACTTGTAAACAGTATTTTCCATTACCTATTAACCATTCCATTAATATGATGTGCAGGCTACTGAGTAACTATGATGTATCAATATACATCCAACTCAATGTGACTGTTGGCCTATGTGTATGAATTTTATAGGGTTAGTACTGTAATACATGTATGTGTGCACATGATGTGAGAGAAACGCTGAAAGGGACTGTGTTATTGTTCCATGTGAGTTATTGCTGATGGTGAGGAAGTATGGTATGGCAAACATGGGACTGTAAATTGCGAGTAATAGCAAACACTACTACTAAGCACTTTGTATAAAGTGTGACTCAGTGTCAAAGCACTGAAGTGGTTTAAAGCTGGTCATTTAATAGATTTCATAGACATTAAGGCTGGAAGGGACCTCGAAAGATCATCAAGTCCAGCCCCCTGCCCCAGGGGCAGGAATTCAGCTGGGGTCACAGGATCCCAGCAAGATAAACGTCCAATTGACTCCTAAAGGAGTCCACTGTAGGTACTTGTCCCACCTCTGGCGGCAGTCTGTTCCAGGCCTTGGGGCTTGGACAGTAAAGTTCTTCCTTATGTCTAGCCTGAAATGGCCTTGGACGAGTTTGTGACCATTTGACCTCGTCATCCCATGGGGCACTTTGGTGAACAGGCATTCCCCCAGATCCTGATGTACACCCCTTATATACTTATAGGCAGCCACCCTGAGCCTGTGCTTTTCCAGGCTGAAGGGTCCTGTAACTCTCAGCCTCTCATCATAACGCCTGTTTTCCTGCCCTCTAATAATGTGCGTGACTCTCGTCTGGGCTCTATCAAGCTTCTCTACATCCTTTTTAAATTGTGGAGCCCAGAACTGGATACAGTACTCCAGCTGCGGTCTCACCAAGGCCGAGTACAGCGGGAGGATGACATCCTGGGATTTGCTAGAGAAGCATCTATGGATGGAAGCCAGAGTTTTGCTCACTTTGCCAGCTGCAACATCACATTGATGGCTCATATTCATCTTGTAGTCAATCATGACCCCCAAGTGCCTTTTGGCCATGGTGCTAGCAAGCGTAGCACTGCCAAGTCTATAAACATGCCACAGGTTTTCCTTCCCAAGGTGGAGTACCTTGCATTTTTCAGTGTTGAAGGCCATCAGGTTTTCCTCCACCCATTTTCCGAGCCTGTCAAGGTCGGCCTGGATCACGATCCTGTCCTCAGGAGTGGACGCTTTACCCCAAAGTTTGGTGTCATCAGTGAACTTGGCCAGTCCACTTCTGATACCAATGTCCACATCATTAATAAAGATGTTGAAAAGAATAGGCCCAACAAAGCCTTGGGAGACCCCACTGGTCATGGCACACCGCAATGATTGACTTCTGTCAACTACCACTCTCTAGGTCTGACCTCAGAGCCAATTTCCCAGCCAGCAGACTGTGATGTAGCCAAGGCCATAGTTGGCCAGTTTTCCTATGAGATGATCGTGGGATACCAGATCAAAAGCTTTTTTAAAATCAAGATATCTGATGTCAATCTCTTCTCCCTTGTCCAGGTGATATGTCACCTGGTCGTAGAAGGAGATAAGATTGGTCAGGTAAGACCTACCCACAACAAACCCATGCTGGCTATCCCTCAGGAAGTTGCCTTCAGCCAGTTTGTCAGGAATAATCTCTTTGATGATTTTTTCCAAGATCTTTCCCAAGATAGAGGTCCGGCTGATGGGCCTGTAGTTCCCTGGATCTACTTTCCTCCCTTTCTTGAAGATAGGCGTCACATTGGCCTTCTTCCAATTGAGTGCTTCGCCTGAGTGCCACGAGTTCTCAAAGATCCCTGCCAGTGACAGAGCTATGACGCTTGCTAGCTCCTTATGTACCCTGGGGTGTAAGCTGTCTGGGCCAGCTGACTTAAAGGTGTCCAGCCTCTCAAGGTGTACCTTCACATGGTCAACACTGATGAAGGGTAACAATTCTCCCTCGCCCTGGCCATCCTGTACCATATTGAGCAGGGCCATCCCCTGGGGCTGGTGAAAAACCCATGCAAAATACCCGTTACGCAGGTTGGTGTTTTCCTGGGCGTCGGTTGTTAGTTGACCCATATGGTTTAGCGGGGGTCCAATGTTACCCTTGATTTTCCTCCAGCAGCCCACATATCTAAAAAAGGACTTTTTATTGCCCTGGATACATGTAGCCAGCTGGAGTTCAGTCGCGGCCTTGGCTTTCCTGGTTCACTCCCTACAGGTCCAGACCAGTGCAAAGTACTCCTCCTTTGGGGTGGATCCAGTCTTCCATCCTTTATAGGTCTTTCTTTTTAGACACAGGAGGTCCACTAGTTCCCTGCAGAGCCAAGGGGGCTGCTGTGCCCTTTTGCTGCCTTTCCTCCAAGATGGGATAGACATTGCTTGAGTTTTGAGGATTGCTCCCTTGAGAAGCAACCACTCTTCCTGAACTCCCCTCCCCTTTGGGTCGAGGTCCCTTAGGGCCTCATCAACAAGTCTCCTGAGCTTGTCAAAGTCAGCTTTCCTGAAGTTGAGGACTTCTGCTTTGCTGGAAAACTTGCCAGCTTTATGGCAGATGGTGAAGGTGAAGGTGATGAACTCATGATTACGGCGGACGGTGAAGGTGATCAGCTCATAGACTTTCATAGACATTAGGGCTGGAAGGGACCTCAGAAGATCATCAAGTCCAGCCCCCTGCCCCAGGGGCAGGAAGTCAGCAGGGATCATAGGATCCCAGCAAGATAGACATCCAAATGTCACTTTAAGGCGTTCAAAGTAGGTGCTTGAATCATGGTTAAGCATATATACTTGCATGGATATAAGCTGGGTTAATAAGAGTGAGATCCTGTCAGTAAAAGTCAATGGAGTCTTTCCACTGACTCCAACAGGTTTGGATCAGATTCTAGAAGCATATATGTCTATTTCTTGATTTAGATAGTTAGTTTTCACAATACCAGATCCTATTTTACCACAAATATATGACAGACACAAAAGATAAAATAATTTGACAGCAACAGTATGGAATCGTATGAAAATGGCATTTTGGCCCAAAGGCTGCAAGCAATGACAGGATAGAACCCATCTGACTGAAAAGTATTGGGGTTTTTTAGAAACAGTTACATTTTCTCTGTAACTATATATTATGGTAACATTTCCTTGGCTGTAGTGGGGTGGTACTAAACTACCATTGCACTCTACTAACATCATTAAATGTAATTTCTATAAAGGAGGCAGCTTTGTACCCAGTTCTGATGCTTTGAGCCCCATTAGAGTCATGTCTGCATAGAGGGTGTATCATTTTCAAAACATGAGCTCTGTACCTTTAGTTAAGTTCTTGCTCACTCATATTCTGGCACCAGTTCACTTTAATTCTCCTTTAAATTTTTCTTGAGCCTTTTATCCCTTCTTATCTTTACAAAAGAAAATGCAATGAGAAGCAACAAAACTGGCAAAGGATTATGCAAAAATGCCAGGAAATATTAAGCAAAACTGAGCTGAGTCAAAGTGGAATGTTTCCCATATTAGATCCTTTACTGTCCAGATAGCAGTTCTGGTTTGAGATATCCCAGTGAAGTCCATCTGACATACCAAGGAAGCCCCTGTACACATTAGCTGAGTCCCTTAAATTTTCATAAATCTCAGTGTTGAGAATTTAGTAACTTTTAAGAAAATCTGGCTGTTCTCAAAAGGTTTTGTGCAAGTACATAGTTGATATAGAAAAACTCCTTGTATAAACTAGTTACATTCCTTGAACTAGGGTAGTAAAAATGACAGCATTATGAACATTTTCCTATCTGACCGATTCACTGTAGAAATCTCAATTCCACAGCAGAACTGAAAAAATAACATGCAATAGGTAATTTAATGATGAATTCAGTGTTCTTTTCAACTTGTAGGCTATCCATGGGAAACAAATAATTTCCTTGCATTATTTCAACTAACACTATGTTGAAAATGTTGTTATATGGATTGATCACAAGTATTCAGAATTGCATCTGTGTTGCAGTAACTGGTTGAATAGCATGGCTGCGTTTTACTACCTGTTGAGTAGTAAGTATTGAGTGTACAAACATATGCAACACACATAGGTACTCATTTGAACACAATATTTAATTGCCAGCTCACTGATTTTTGCTTTTCATAACCTTTTTTTTGTAACTAAACCTCTGTTACCAGAACCTTTGTAGGCATTAAACATGAAAGCGGTATGGGCAAAGCTAAGGCAAATTCATTCACAAAAATCAAGCAAGTAGTTGTTTGAAGAAATGTTTCAGTTTTTCCAAGTGTGTGGTGATATCCCAGAAATATCATGGTCACTCTCTCTTTATGGTTTCCTTTTCCTTATGGAGAGCAACTCCAAAACCTTCTTCTGTTTTCACATGGGATCAAGGTTGAAGCCTGCTGTACTGGCACTTGCATTATGTGGGACTCTACAGCACTGAGAAGGACTGCCTGCAGGCATGGTCAGGATATTTTGTGGAACATAAATTCTTCATAAAGATCAAGTGACCACATCCCATCCAGCTGTAATTGTCTGTATTATTTTTTACCTCAGGTTGTTTTCTCCTCGCCACTACCTGAAATACTCTTAGAAGGTGGTGCTGTTCTGCTTGCTCCAGCTGAGACATCAGTGCCACCAGCTCCTTTAGATGGCTATTAATTGACTGTGGTTGCTTTTCATAGAGAGAGGGCAACACACGCAGCAACATGGAGTTTCCTGTTAACAGAGTAATCCAGAAAAATGTGTGTCAAGGCTCTGTCTGTCTTGTTGCCTTTCTTATTCCAATACCCTTTTATACATCTCTAGACAGTCAGAATTTTGATAACACCAATTTTCCGAGAATCATTAGTATATACAAGGAAACATAAAACTCACAAATGAAAAAAATGTATATTGGACCAAGAAACCAAAAACTCCCTATCCAAGTGGGAATTTCATTAAGTGGAACAACATGGGTGAAGTAGAAAATATTTCCTATCAGTTATTGTTTTCAGTCTGGAGAATAAGTTTATGTAAATGAAGGCTATCTAATGGTATTTCAGATTTGGATGGTATGTAACTGAGCTCTAAATCATAGAGTAAATATGATTTAAAATCTGAAAAAGACAAGAGAATGTATGATAACTACTTTTCTTCTTTGCTGACATTAAGACACTTAAATGAAACAGCCAACATATGGAAAGAATACTTAGTTACTATGAGAATCTAATGAGCACAGAGAAGAATTTGAACAGAAATGGTTAGGGTGCCACATCCAGGGGTCCAGAGAGACCAGAAAGAGAGTCAATCAAAGAGACACATGCAAAATCGTCTCTCACATTTTTTGGTATTTGGAGATGTGCGTGCATGTTTTAATTTGAAACCAGTCTCTTATAGAAATATATAACAGCAGGCTGTACATGCCTGTCTTAGTGTGCTTAAGTTTCATTTGAGCAACATATGGAAAACATCTGCCTATCACTCTGCAGTATGGATCCACTCTGTAAATTTTTTAAAGTACTTGAAATCTCTCTGGATTTGGTTTCAAATAAGAACTGCCACATTGGCCTGCTGCTTTTTCTCCTGTTTTAATGTGTGCCTTGTAACTATGGAAGATAATCAGGTAACTCACTTAGTAGTAGACAAGGTTTTTAGGTTAGCTGAAAAGCCAGGTTTTGGTACAATTGTACTTGGTACAATTTCATCAAGCTCATGTGAGGTACTATAAAATGCAAAATGGGGTATTGCATCATCTGAATTTGACTTGGAGCAAATAACTAACATGCAGCTTACAGCAGGCTGGGGGTTACTTACAGGTGTGCTAGCTTTTAAAAACCCTCAAGGAACTATAAAGCCTGCCAAGGAAGCCAGCTCACTGCACCTCCACCCATACCTGCTTCTGCCCCCTACTCTAAGGAAGGAATAGCACAGAGTTAGTCGCATCAGTCAAGAGGTTTTGGCAGCCTATGTTGGGCAGCTCCAAGTCCCCTGTATGGCATCAGAACAGTGAAAAGGGAACTTGTCAGAATCTCTCTGGTCAACCTATGGTTATTCATTTGTGGTTACTGACGATTTCTAGACCATAATCAGAAACAACCATGTGTTTTGCATCCATTATCCTAAACAAATAGAAAATTCCTCCATGTTCACTGAAGAGCTGTTTATAAACTGGAAGACCATCCTGTTTCCAGTATTTGCATGAGAGGTGATTTCATCTGAGTAATGCTCTGAGTGATGCTGTGAGTGTAATGTTCGTAAAGCAGTTGGGATCCCTCAGGATGAAAGGCCCAAGGGAATAAAAGTATTTGCTAACAAATGATGAGAAAAGGATTAGCACATAGAGGGGGAGGCCTTCTTGCCTCACTAGTCAGTTCTTGCCCTATTTTCTAGCCACATTTTTTTATGCAAAGCTCCCCATGAAGTTACTGCATGAGATTTTCAATAATCATAAGTTATTCAGGAGCACAATTTCCATCACAATTTATAATGAGAACTGTGCTCCTAAATCACTCAGGTGTTTTTGAAAATCCCACCCACTGGGATTTGCACATGCAGAGGAAGGGCAGCATATGACCCCCTCCTTACCTATTAAGTTTCATCTGTTACAGTAAAACTGCCAAATAGCAGACAAGGACTAATTTCAGAGGCGACATGCTGGCAACTCAGTCCAGTGAAGTTCCAATTTATATGATGATAGATTAAAATGAGATGTAAGTTATATTAACCTAAAATCCTGGACTCACCTCTGAGTTTGAATTTTACACTAGATTTCGATTGACAAGAATACATGAATTCCATTATCTTCTCTAAACTGTTTAGTTCTTTTAAAAAGAGATCTTGCATTCTTTCCATGTATATAAATTGCATCAACTTCAATGGCAGTTTCTCCATGTGCATGGAATGGAGTCCTCTAATTACAACTCTCTGGTTATATGTCACTGGGTGCATCTACATGAGACACTTACTGCACAGTAGCCTAATAATACTGTGTGTCACAGCATGGTCAGTGCTAATATGCTAATAGGCTACTGCACAGTAGCATCACTTGAAAGACATTAATTGGTGCTACTGCACGGTAACTCCGGTTATTGTGCATTTATTTAGTACTTTCTAATACAAGTATTTGCTAATACAAGGACTAAATAAATGCGCAATGACCACTGCACAGTAGCATCTCATGTCAATGCTCCCACTGATAGTAACCACTGGGAAAAGTATGCTTCCCATTGTCTTGGCCAGAGAATATTCATCCCAGTTGTAAAAAAGGGTCAAGAAGGAATTCAGTGAGAAAAGGAAAAAGGGCAACAGGTCCAGAACAAAAGGATCTGTGACTACCACAGCTGCTATATATGTTCCACCTTCACACACACACACACACACACACACACACACACACACAGAGTTACACAATAAATTAGAAACAATAAATTAGAATACCAGGTCCATTACAGGAAGTAACATTCTGATGTAATATGATACAAGTGTGACATGAAGTGACAGCTGCATGTGATGAACACACCCATATGGTAAATTATGTCACTAAACTCAGCTGCATTTCACATATATAAATGATGTAAATTAAGGCAGAGTTTGGTCCAATTATTGTAAAATGTTACTAGGAATTGCTTGACTTTAGTATCCCTTAGTGATACAAATAGAATCATAGAAAAGTAGGGCTGGAAGGGACTTTCAGAGGGCAAGATAAAAATTAAATCAGAAACATGTAGATTAATTTAGCATAACATTTACATGATCTCAGTGGCATGGAATTACTTTCTAAATTACATTTATAATACAACTGAATCACCTGTAAGTACAAACTACTAAACAATAAAGGTAGACAAGACAGTTGTATCTGTTCTTTTAACAATGCAAAAAAGGTAACACAACATAATTTAATTCATAATTTTCTAATGGTTTCATGTCCTGGACACAGTGCATTTAAGTGGAATATGTGAGGCCTTTTGAGTGCTTTGTTGTGTGCCTTTATCCCTAAGCACTCTCAGAATGTGCAGTCCAGCAGCCTATGCTGAGCTCTGCCTTGTGCCATACAGATAGTCCCTCTGCAGCCTCTACCAGGGACTTTACTTTTGTTCTTTTTTGTTTTGTTGGTCTTCATCTAAAATAAAGTTCTGAAAGCATCTTTGTTCTCCCTTCATTATACCTTTCCCCACCAAATAGTATACTTAGTTTAGCTTCTATCAGATTTTCCAAGCAGACCACACATTGTGAATTGTGCAATCCAGTCAGAAACTATCAAATTGGTGACATTTTATGAGTGTGAGCTGTTGATTGCAGGCAAGCAAGGGAAAGGGCTGTGAAGCAGACAAGAGATCCCAGCGCAACACAGCTTATGTGCCCTCCATCACTGCAGTAAGATCAACTCTTCCGGTTGGTGCCATGACCACATGCTTATCTGGCCTCTTCTTTACTGGGAAGGTTATTGCTAGCAATGGTGTTAGTCTAGCATCCTGCCTGTGCTTCCTATGAGGACTCTGTGGCTAGGGACAGAAGTTACACATAAACCAGTTTAAGTCATCAAAAACTGGTTTAAACCTGTAACAGAACAGAAGCTCAGTGCATATCAGTTTCAAAATGGCTAAAACTGGGTTAAGGTAAACCTGGTTGAACGTAGTTTCACACTTAACTGATTTAGGTCAAATTGGTTTATTAAACTTCTGTCCCAGACCTCTTCCTGGTTCAAGTTAAATAGAGTCCCCCAGCATAGTCTGTGTGTTCACTTCCTCTTCCTGCTGCCCCTGAGGTATCTGGGATTTGCAGCCCAGACCCACAGCAACAGGACTCTGCAGGATTGCTTATCACTTCCTCTTCCTGCTTCCAGGTGCCTCTGGGATTTGTAGTCCATAATCACAGTCTGCAGGACTCTGCAAGGTTTTTCCCCTCTGTTCAATACATGCTCACTTCACAGAAAGGACTATTCTTGTTCAAGCTTTTATGAATTCAATGCCACTACCTTTTTCCCCACCCACCCCCTCCTCAGCCTGGCAGGTGCTGCTCCCCTCCTCCCCCTAGGCAGACCCTCCAGCTAGCTCTGGGCTGGGGCTTGGCCACGCCCCCTCCTATTGAGCAGGCAGGGAGGGGAATAGCTTTGGAGCTGGCAGGCTGGGAGGTGTGCTCTAGTGCTCCCCACCAGCTTCTGGCTCGAGCCACTGAAGGCATGTGCCTACCTTTCCTGAATCAAAAGTGAATGTCTATTCACTTGCAAATCGGTTCAATCTTTGCAGCTTAAACTAACCTGCAAAGACTGAACTGATTCAGCCTCGGACTTTTTGGCTGTCTGTACTTAGCTTGTTTCATCTCTGTGCTAAAGAATGCAGCCATATACAAGGGTTATTTAAAATGCACAAAAAGAGGTGCACTCCAAGTAAGCACTGGCAGATACAACTCTGCATTTGTACTAAAGCACATTTAAATTAATTCTTTTTTAGAATAGTTATCATTTTAATGTATATTTATGGACAGAGCCAAACTTGTCATACCCATCATACCTGGATCTCCAGATCAGGTATCTATCTAGGCACAGAACTTTGAAAATGCTAGTTTCAATGTTTTATATTAACTTCAGGTTTCATATTTTGACATTTTTGTTTATTTTTGTATTAGGGTACTACCTAGAGAACCCAACTGAGGCATTATATATACATATATATATATACATGCAGTCAGACTCCAAAAGCAATGCAAATAACTAACTGTAAGTCTACATCACAGACTAC